AGAGGGGCAAGGGGAGAGAGAGAGAAGGAGAGAGAGAGGGAATCCCAAGCAGGCTCCACACTGCCAACGTGGAGCCTGATGTGGGGTTCAAACTCACGAACTGTGAGATCATGACCTGAGCTGAAACCAAGAGTTGTATGATTAACTGACTGAGCCACCCAGCCACCCCAAAAGTGTTTAGTTTTTTACTTTATTTATTTTTTTAAATTTATTCATTTATTTTGAGAGAGGAGAGAGTGCGAGTGGGGGAGGGGGAGAGAGAGAGAGGGAGAGAGAGAGAGGGAGAGAGAGAGACGGAGCATGAGTGGAGAAGGGGCAGAGAGAGAGGGAGACACAGAATCTGAAACAGGCTCCAGGCTCCGAGCTGTCCGCACAGAGCCCGACGCGAGGCTCGAACTCAACCACGAGATCGTGACCTGAGCCGACGTCGGACGCTCAACCGACGGAGCCATCCAGGCGCCCCACACCACTTACAACTTTAAACAGGAGGCTTTGTCTTAATTGTAGAAGTAAAACTTAGTGACAGTAACATGTCCTCAATCATTTCGCTCAGCTCTCATGCCCAGCGAGGGATCACAGGCAGCCTGGTGCAGGGAAGGGGTCAGGCGTTGGCTTTGGGAAAAACCTGGCTCTACCCTGGAGCTCTGTGACCTCAGAGAAATTGGTTAGCTTCTCTTCACCTTAATTTTCTTACCTGTAAGTGTATTTTAGTGAATCCAGCAACAAAGCAGGTACAGCATCCGGCAGGGAGCCTGGCACAGAACGTGCAGAGAGAAACAGCACGGTCATTATCGCTAAAATTCCTACTATTAGAGATATCCAAGTGGACCACCATTTCTACAAAGGCAGCATTTATTGCTTTAAACCTCATTATGAGTCTTTGCCCGCACATGTCAAAACCAACTCACCTTAGTCATTTCTCACAAGGGGACGCTGTCTAGTTTTCCGTCATTAAAAAACGAACAGACCCATCACGTCCCATCCACCAACTCCATCAAACGCTCAAAAGGAATTTTTTAAAGGCATCAGGTTGATTAGATTGGTCATATGGTGACAGGGATTAAAAATCCCGCTTCTGAAATATTTCACTCTCCCGCTTCCGCAAGTAACCTAGGGGAGGAGACCCAGATTCGAGTATGGGATTGATTCACTCTTGTGCTACATACGAAGGCGAGAGGGACATCAGTATGCAGGCTGACAGAACGGCCCCGAGACCACCACGGGCATAACGTTTGGGACAAAGCAATGAGGTGAATTTATTACCAGTGATTCCCCCTCGGACCCTGAAATACTGGTCTTGCCGCCATCCGAATGGGCTTAGTTGACATCCCGTCCCGAAACCTTTCGTCGATTGTACAGGCACCACTACGAATCCACGGCAAATGGAGGGAAGGTATGTGTGTCTAAAACATCTGTCTGACTAAAGGAAATGGCGCTCAGACAACGATTTTGCAATGTGCTTACAACCGAGTCTTCTGTGTTATTTCTTGACAAAAATCTTTGCTCTCTGGGAACAGGCAATGCAGTTTTTATTGCGTTTAAGTTGTTTTTTTGGTGAAAAGAAGGAAAAGGAATTCAAAGTTAGCTTCTCACGAACAGCCACATGGTCACTCCGCTAGTGAACTTACAGAGGGTACCTTACAGATATCACCGTCAGATACGCGTGGTTTATACGCACTCGCCAACTTAATCGTTAAAATAGGAGACCACCTGTTTCAAATGCACTTTGTACCACAGACAGTATGAACCGGAAATATTTGATCTACAAGATTTAATTCTATTCGTCTCAATCAGGACTAACTATTAATACATTCTTAGATATAGAGAGATAGGAAACGTGATGTTTTCATATTTCGCGACAGCTTCCCATTGCTTTATTTTTCAGAATATTCTCCAATAAACGTAACCTACTTTTAATAGATGTTACTAAATTTTTTCTTTTGTTCCCTGAAAACAATCAGACTGTGGTTTAAGAAACTACAATGGCCGGTCTAATCAATCCCACTTCATATGCAAATCAAGACAATTTTCAGAATTCGTTTTAGAGACACATGGAAAACCTATATTGAAAGCAGACTCATTTGATTCTGGATTTACACGGCAACATTTGAAACTAGTGGTCTAGCTAACACAGGCAACCTTGCAGAAAGTCACAACATTCACAGAAATACCAAAGTAATTCTTGTGAACAGTAATTGCTCCAAGTAAAGAAAGAATGAACAAGAATGGGTACACGGTTTCCGTGTTGGTCACTTATCACTGAGTTCACGTTAATAAAACCGGGTCTCTTCCAAACAGAATCATGTGAACTATTTGTGTTGGCTCGAAAGAGATCATCTTCAGTTAGATACATGCAGCGTTGAAAATCTACCTTGACGTTAAAAAAAAAAAAAAATCTGGAAAAAGTCACTGCTCCTCCATTGATCGCAATAATTCAATTTTATTGTCGAGTCCAAGTAAACACTCCAGGACCAGTTTACTTTTGATAACATCATGGCCACAGCATACACTTTCTTTCCCACCCGCTACCAATCCTCCAAATACAACAGAAAACAAAAATCCCTGCCTCTCAACAAAACAAAATAATCATTTATTTTATTTATTTATTTTTTAAAGGGCGAAGACACTGGCAACATTATTTCCACTTCGATCACTTAACTCATCTAAATGAATGCTTCAGAAATGCTGGGTGCTCCTGCAGCTGGAGAGAAAAATCCGGTCGAAAGGAGTTAAGGACAGCATCTCAACCACTGGGCCGGGCAGTGAAAGTGCTTGGTAAATGCAGAATTTAGTGCGCCGTGTGTCCCCTAAGGGGGAGGCTGCTACACGTCGCTGGGGGACCGCGCTCTCTGGGAGAGACTGGACGGGATGCAGCCGCAGCAAATGAGACAGAGGGCTTTCTGGATCTCTTGGTTTCTGAAAGCATATATGACAGGGTTGATGATGGAGTTGTAGGTGGCCGGCAGGAGGGTGGCATAGGTGTACATGGAGGGGTAGGTGTAATCAGCTATCAAGGAGTAGAGCGTGAAAGGCATCCAGCAAGCAGCGAAGGTCCCCAGAATGATGGCCAGGGTGGAGACGCCTTTCCGGGTGGTCACGTAGTGGGAGGTGGCCAGGAAGTGATGCTGCAGGGCGATCTGATGGGCGTGCCGCATCACGATCTTGCAGATCTGGATGTAGAGCTGAAGCATGAGCGCAAACGCGAAGAGGAAGGAGACGGAGAGGATGGCCGCGTTGTTCTTGGTGAGAGGTCTGACCACGCTGCAGGTGGACTCGTCTCTGAGGCAGTTCCAGCCCAGGACGGGCAGCAGTCCCAGGCAGATGGAGGTCCCCCAGAGCATGACAAGCATGACATAGGTGAACGTGACCGTCCTCTCCGAGTGGTACGTCAGCGCGTAATACAGGGAAAGGTAGCGGTCAACAGTGATAGCCAGCAAGCTGCAGACAGAGGCAGAGAAAGAGGCGACAATGAGCCCGACTGTGACCAGCTTGGTGGCTTCTGACTGAAGCAGGTAGGCAAAAACAAAATTGACGATGAGTCCCACGCCGGCCAGTAAGTCTGCCAGAGCCAGGCTGCCTATGAGCAGGAACATGGGTGCTCGCAGGCTGGGGTTATGGAAGATGATAAGGACCACAATGGCATTTTCACAGGAGATGAGGGTTCCTGAGGTACACAAGACAATGTCCCAAGGGTTGACAACCAGCTCTGGCTCCGGCTCAACAACAGGAAACTGGGAGGAGACGGCAGCTGAGACGTTCTCCGCAGCGCCAGCATCTAAATAATCCCGAGGCAGCCCGCTTAAATTGACCTTCAGGTCTTCATTCATTTTAACCCCCGTCCTCTTCAACGAAAAGACAGGCTTTTTAATGTGGAGACACAGCAGGGCGACAATCCAAGATCATGCAAAACACACACAGACAGAAAGCCAGCCCCTGCTCAGACACCGCCATCAAATGCCACACGCTTCACCAACTCGAAAGGGTCACGGAACAAAACAAAGGGCAAAGTCTCGCCGGCTGAGGACCCGCGACCACAGATGCCGCTGGGCGCTGGGGACGACACAAGATCGGACTTGGAAACACGAGCGCGAGCGAGGCAGGCACCCACGGAGCCGCGGCGGACCGGTTGCTAAAGTGCGGGCAACGCACAGCCGAAAACCACATCCTGCATGCTGGAACCGAACCCCCGTGCCACGTCTGGGCTGCTGCCGGGGCGGCCGCGCCGCAGCCACAGGTCGCGAGCCGGGGGC